GAGAGAGATAGAGAGAGAGAGAGAGAGAGAGAGAGAGCGAGAGAGAGCGAGAGAGAGCGAGAGAGAGCGAGAGAGAGAGAGCGAGAGAGAGCGCGAAATCTCACGGGAACCTGATTCTTTGCTGTAATCAGCTTCCTCTCTCCGATAAGATGAGGTCCGGCTGGATACGTGACCTACGTACACACGCCACACGAGTCTCACATCAACATATCTGCTCACTGAAACTCATCTGAACACAGCTCATGAAAGAAAGACATCTGAAGCCTGCATGTACCTGTACCTGCCTCAACCTGACCTTCCTGAACTTGACTGCACTCAGCTGCATACGGACATCAGAGTTATTAGAAAAGGAGAATGACTGAGGGTTAATGGACTGCTCTGCTACAATCACATCACAAACAGCACTAACACAAGCGGTTTCAGCTCTTCAGTGCGTTTCGGACCAGAGCTGCTCACCTGCTCGCCTTCTGCTCGACCTCGCTTGGTCTCTGGAGTTCCTGCTTCATTTCGGATGACCTTCGGCTTTCTCTTCTTCACAGCGTCGGAGGACATGACTGAAAAATGAAAGAAATCAGAATGATCCTAAATCAAATCACAAGCCCTGATTTCAAATTATATTGTGACAATTTGTCAGTCGTCTATATGGATTTGTTTCATTGTATTTTTAACAGTCTCCAGTCGCCTCCAAACAGAAACCTTTCTCTCTTGGGAAAAAAAGCCGTCATATATTACTATCATAATAACCAAATACACCAAATAATGATCTTTCAAAAAGCATCATATGACCCCTTTTAAATAAGTTCAGAGTTCATTTCTAAGTCACTCATTATTTTCCCCACAGAATGTTTTATATAAGTTCACTTTTTTAATAAATACACCTTAAAGCTAAATAGAAATGTTTAAAAAACTCATAAAAACGTCAAAACATAGATTACTATCATGATATTTTATGAACAAGAAAGGAAAATGAAGAATTCGTTTCTAAATGACTCATTATTTAACACACAGACTATTTATATATGTTAACTATTTTTTATTAAATAATATAATTTAAAGCTAAATAGAAAAACTAATAAAAACAAACTTTTTCAAACGAATATATAGAAAGTAAAAGGTAATGCAAAATATTAATAGCATATTAACAATGCTAAAAATAGCACTTATCTGCCTTGAGCAAGAAGTCAAATGTGTTTTAAATATAAAATACAGACTGTAAAAATCTTAATGAAATATTAGTTTAGTAAATTATATATTCACAGTTCAGTAAACTGTGCCATCAGGTTAGCATCTCGTTAAAGTAACGGTAGAGTGATTTAAACACACGATATGCTTCATGTTGGGTTTAAACAAGAAGCACCGACAAACATGAAAGCATAAAATCTCACCTTTCAACAACTTTTATCCAATTTAAGTATCTGAATATGAATTGAATCATTAGGAGTGAGCACGGCAGACTGCAGGAGAAAACAACGGACAGCACTTCCGCTTTCCGCTTTACATAATAAAAGATCTCTGAAGGTTCGAGCGAAAATATCATAATTTTATAAAAAAAACTTTTTTTTAAATCAGTACCAGAAACCTGGAACACATTTTAAATTTAATTTAATTTAAACAGCCAATTTGCATTTCATACTGTTTGATTTTATTAATGCTTGGCTAGTGTTTTTTTCCCTTCTGTATAAAAATGTTATACAAATGTATAACAAATACATAGAGCGTTTAATACTGTTTTAATTACTTTAAAATTGCACTCCTTAAGATATGTTGCACAAAACACATAGTTTATTTGATTTGATTAAAATCAAACATTTTAGATAGATTTGTAACGTGTGCGTCTTCGCCACTGGACTTTTATTTTGGAATTAAAGCTTGAAGGAAACCCACCTGTACGGAAGTTGCTTGCGTTGCAATCTATCAATGTTTACATGACAAACTACACTTCAGCCTGCTCAGTGAAACGTCTCTACGCGCTAATTAAATGAACGCAATTAAAAGTAAGTAATTGGGTAAACTTTATAATACGATCAAGGCATGAATTAGACTGAACTGTTCATACTTTATGCAACTATGCGTTTAGAAAGGGTCTCAATAACATTCTGACATACTATTTTTATTACTGTATACAGTATGCAGCACGGTAAGCACATTTTTCAGCGTTCATGAAGAGCCCAGATAACACTAGATGCACTCTGCATACTACATATTAAAATTAAAATAAATACATATGCTAAAATGTATAGAGTACACATGAAATGGGACTGTAATCTCATAATGCAAAGCACTCTATTTTACCTTACATTTACAGCAATTGTCACAATGAATAATTTCTAATTAAAGCTTAGTCAAGCAGCTAAAAGTGAAGACATTTCTACAAAAAAAAAAATGTGGACATTTATCACCAAGATATTAACCAAACAAACATTCAGCGCTATTACATAATGTAATATAATGTAGCTTATCCTACTTTTTTTAAACCCTAGGCACTATAAAATGGAATTATACCTATTGTTTCACTTTTTTATATCACATTTGCTGAACATTTCCATTTTTGGAAGAGCTATTCTTTTAAGTATTAAGGTAGTATTCCATTCTAAATATAGGCATGCCATATTTGGCATGGTTTAAACCTCTCAGGTGGTGTCTTTACTCCTGGTGCATTATGGGTCAGTGGAGGCCTGTGTCTAACCTGAGAGCTCAGGTATCTCGACACCCTCCTGCGGTTGTGTTCTTCCTCAGTCTGCTAATCCTCTCCATAACTTTCGTCTGCATTGGACTTTACTCTCAGAATCACGACATCAAGAACCCTGACATAAGTGTAGTGAGTATGAGGATCACTGCTATAATTCTTGCATTTTGCAGTTAATTATAGACTAACTCATATGCTTGTTTTCTAGGACTGGAACCGGGTTCTGGGTTCTATCGCTGGATTTAAGTTCTGCACACATCTGAACGACACAGATGCACCGCTGGAGGAAGACTCTCCTCGAATGGTGGAGCATTCAGATAGGACAAATATTTCCACGAGCAGCGCTCATGTTTCCTTACTGGTGCCGCTGGCGTTTACAGGGGACGTCCCAGATAATACTGCCATCAGTGCCACTATGTTGGGCAGCCAGATGGGCATGAAAGGTTTGTGCATGAGACATTTTTATATTTTCAGTTTTCATTTAATTTTTTTTTGTTTGTTTGTTTTTTAAAAGTATATTATTTATAACTATATAAATATAACTATTTAGGTTTAATTCATTTTAATTTTAGTTTTAGGTTTTATTTATAGTTGGTCATTTTAGTGCTTCTACTTAATTTAGTTGAAAAGACAACATTTCTCATTTTAATTTAGTTTACATTTTTCATGTATTCATATATTTCTGTTTTGTCTTATTTCAAAGTACTAAGTGAATTTGCTTCAATGCAAAATTGTTTCAGTTAGTTACTAAGGCAATATTCTTATGTAATATTTATATTTATTATATATATATATATATATATATATATTCAGATTATATTCTTCTAAATTTATCATTTTTCTCTGGTTCCTATGTTTATGTTCAGTTATTTTGCTGTTCAATATGTAACCTATTCAATATTCATTGCCATTAATGTGAAATTACTGAACCTACATATAGGAGCCTGATAAAAATGATCATTTTAGAAGAAACTTTCAGACAGCACAGTGAGGCTTTTGCATCTGAACTGAACACACCATATATATATATATACATATATACAGTGGTGTGAAAAAGTGTTCGACCCCTTCC